TTCTTCACATACCATTCAAAACCGACACATTAATAGTTTTCCATCGCGGCACCTCTCTATCCATCTGTGCATTCAACTCCACCATAATCTCAAATCCCTCATGACTATCACCATCTCCGACCTCTTGTTTCTCATTATCCCCTGCGCTTCCTACAGACTCCTGATCCAACCCCTTAACCCTATACCTCGTCCCATTTCTAATAATATGCAGCGCGCCATCTCTCAAAAATAACGGATACTGTCTATAGTCCTCTGGCGTTTTATCCCTGAAAAAATTTCTCCAGATGATATCACACAATTGACAACCATTTATCGCGCCATCACAAAGAATTGAGATATCAGAATGAAGAGGACGGATGATATCATCTATATTTGACGAGGGGGTAGAGATTAGAGGAGGCCGATCCCCGGAAAATATAGTACTGCAAGTTGCGCATAACATTGTATTTCTCCTGATCCTGGATGAAGATCTGAGGGAGAAGAAGAATTAAGGATAATAGTGAGATGAGGGATCATTCAGCCGCAGATACACATCTAACAACTTCGAGCTTGGCGCTGACCGAATTGTAACCACGTGATGCGTGTGTGAAAGTCTCATCGAGGTATATCTCGAGATCAGCAGAGTGGTAAGGCTATGAGTATATCAAATGATTCATGGTAGCTACTAGGATCCAAGATCACACGCGTTGAAGTTGAAGAGGTGAGAATATCATTGTCAGAAGAACATGTAGCTTTAGCGAGAAATCGAGAGGGGTAGGGAGGGGGCAAGCTCGCAAGGCAAGGTATTAAAGCTGTCTACTTAGAACCGTACTGCTAGATGAACCATCCAATGAAGTCCTTTCTCTCAAATAACCCTTCCAAATACTTAAACCAAAACCAAACCCCCAAACCCAACCAAAACTATCTTCAAATCCTCAAAAGCATCTCACACGCATCAAGACACAGATAATATTTTTCATAGCACTTTCTTCACCTCGTTCACCTCTCTCGCCTTCCATCTAACACACTCGTTTCTCACTGCTTACCCCGCTCGACCATTCATCTAAATAAGACTTTTGGCCAATGATGTCACCTGCACGAAGATCAATATACCTTGCAATTGAATTCATGTGATGTGATAGCGTCCTCGCATTAACCAGAAATTGGCGCTTTGTTATTCACACTCGACCTCGCACTATTCATTCAATTTCATTTTCTCATCGTTTCATGGAACTTGGTTTATACAGATTAACTATATACGAATTAAGCCAATTGCCTATATAAATACAAATTTTCAAAGGCGCCGTCTCACTTGCTCTGCTTCCTGAACCCATCAATTACCGCCTAGCCCCGACGTCTATTTACTAGCATCAATCTTGATATAGACAAACTACTTTGTACACTTTGATTGCACATCTTGCTCAAAGCGCTCCTCTCCGACTCACGTCAACAATTTCATCATTCCTTAGTACTCATCTGGAACCAAGCATTGACAACGACCGCCGCAAAGAGCGATGCGCACAATATACTCGGTCCCCAAGCATCATAGTACTTAATGTTTCTCCTCTCCCTAATGCTATTACTTCTGTACAAGTACATGCCTACACTGTAGGCCAAACTCATAATGGCGACTACGGAAAAGAAACCTGCAGCAATGAAGGATACAGCAGTAGGTTTTGTTCCAAAGTTGACGAGTGTGGCTGCAATTGTACCGATGTAGATGGAAAATTCGAGCTATAAAAGTGTGTTAGAAGGTTGCATGATCATCTAAACAGTATAATTGAGGAAAATACATACCCAAGTTAAGAATGTTCTCTCAGCGGCAAAATACACCTTTGGTTCGACACGAACAGGTACGTGAATCTTCTTTCCAGGCGGTGCCTTGAATTTCTTGGCCACGATTTTACCACCCCCATTTCGAAGAGCTGAGAATGTAGCGTTGTTACTATCCATGGGATCTCTTGGGGCAGGGCTTATAGAATGGATTTTTCGAGATAGATGATGTCCCGTAGTTTTAGCATAATATCTAATGCCTTCTGTTATAAAGGCTAGACCGCCAACTCTTCTAGCTTCCTCAAATGGTCGATTGTCGATGGAATCTTCGTCATCAGTATCATAGATATAGTCCTCTTCCACCAATGGCATGCTGGCAATTTCTTCTTCGATATCAAGACTATTTCCTGGTGCTCCATGGTTGCGTCGTCGTAGGGTCTCGGACGCAGTGGCAATGTTCCCAGCCCCAGATTGATTGAAGTTGTAATCTTCATCATCAGAATCATCGTCGTCGTCATCGTCACTTGTGGAACTTGGATTTGAGTGACCTGGTCGTTTGATACCGAACGACTGAGTAACTGGCTTTCGGATGTCTACATCCATTTGTGGCATCCAGAATGGTATAAGGTTTATGCGAGTTGGGAAGAGAGTCGCGGTACCATGAATGAATTTTGAGAATTTGGGAACAGCTTCAACAAGATGACTAGCAATGAGTTCTCGGACCCATTCTGGTGGTTCTTGACCAGCCTGGGTTTGTAACTTCACTTCGAGAACCGCATATGGAAATCTTTCAACATCTTCTGCAGGCAACTGACTAAATGGATAATCAATACCGATATCCATTCTTCGCCAATTATCGCCAGCGCGTCTTCTTCCGTCAAGATTATCTTCTCTAACCATTGTCAACTCGGTATCTAAAGAGATACGAACTCTTGCGTCGGCGGGCAATTGGAAGGCTGTACGGTTGTAGAAAGATCGACAGACAGGTACATAACCCTTCTTGATAACCGAGTATTGAACTTCCCTAGCAAGTCTCTCGTCCTCCTCGATGGCTTTCAATGGCTTCTTGCCCTCCTTGCGAGCCTTCTCAAATATAGCAGCAGGCAGCATTTCTCCCTTCATGTATGCATTGACGTTCTTTTCTTTGATCCCAAATCTTGCCTTCACTGACTTCTCTCCCGTCCAATCTTCACGATGGGTTTTTCTCTCCACAAATATATGTTCATTGTCGACATCGCCATACCATCTAAGACGGATTGCCTCGGCTCCCTCACTCTTCTTGAGTCGACCCTCGTATAGATCCCAAGTCTCGGGATTGTCGTAGTAAATCGACGTGATCGCAGAGTCCTTCGCTTCGAACTCCTTGCTGGCATTGAAAACAAGAACTGGTAGATGCTATAAAAAGAGTAAGCAGAGATTATGGGTAATTGCTAGATTGAATTCACCTTCAAGATGATAAGCTTCAGCTCGGTAATGTTATCCGGGTGCACCCAATATTTAGTTGTTTGTCGAATGAAACTAGCTTGACTTCCACCTGCCGAGCTGTCTCCTTGCACTGGGTTTCCTCTTGTTCTGACCAAGTCATACAATTTGGATAACTTAACGATGTCGGCATCATAGTTGTCTTTGAAGAAGGGTTTCGCCTTGAGTCTTGTCGCAAACACAGGTTTTAGCATCCATTTGGTGGTTTTCTAGTAATCGTTAGTTGGGCTTGATAAGTTTATAATCAGCAAACTTACGTCATGTTTCTTGATGATCTTCTGAAATCCAGTGTAATTCAGTTGAACGAATTTGGCCAAATCGTGTACGTCCGCGATAATGTCACTCAAGTCTTCCTCCAATAGCATGAACTCTTCTTCTGTGGGAGCATCAGAATCTACTGATCCATTGCTGCGTTCGGGCCCTCTTGAATCCAATCTTCCCACGACTTCGCTAACCTCTCTATCCGCGTTCGCAATTCTCCGACTGATTTCGATGGCCTTCAATTTTTGTTTGGTATGTACCTTGTCCAACTCTGCCTCCATGAGATCAATGAACTCTCTTTCATTTGCTTCGGTCCATTTTACTCCTTTCGAATTCGACTTATTTTTCGTCGAGGGGGTCTTGAGCTTCTCTTTCAGCTCATCATACGCAATGTAGTACCATTGGTACTCTTTGATCACACTTGATCGGAGTTGCTCGCCAAACTTCATGATGATGGTTCCTGGTTGGAAGTTGTAGTGACCTGGAGGGCCGTTGGTTTGTGATAACCAACGTTGAGTATCTGCTTTCAAATCGTGAACAATTAGCATTTATGAGCAGGGGAGATGCCTCATTATCTGCACAGGAGCAGATAATAGAATTGATCTGAATGCGAATGGATGTAGTGTAAGGGGCGCATAAAGAAGATATACCTGGTTGAACACAGGAAACTGTGAGTTGCGCTTGATTCGAGGAAAGAACCTGTGAGACAACAGGGTGAAAGTATTCGGTGGTGGGAGTCAATTCTTTGCAGATTTGTTGGTATTTTATTAAATTGTGTTAAAAAAGTTGCATAATTAAAGGTATGAATTATGAATTTTACAACAGCTGAGCTGGTAGTTTTGCCCAGGTAGGTAGGTAGGAAATGTTTATATTATTATTAGTGAAAGTATAGTAATAAGTCGACCTAGTAATGATGGAAAGCTTAAGAGCTTCATTGACCAATCACAGAGTAGTATCGCGGAACGTGTGAGAGTCAGCATTAGTACTCAATTTGGTTTAGCTTATTGTAATCTATTTTACTCTAATATAAAAGTAGAGTAAAGCATCACGTGCATCTTTAATCCGGATTCTTATCTCATCTTATCATTTTCATCTTTTCATCCATTACATTACGGAGGATATTGCCGACGCAGGTAGGTGTACATACTGAGTAGGTAGGGTGTATGTATTACATGAGATTATTGTCCTAAAATGATTGGTCTAATGTCACATGTGTACTCAAACTACTCAAACATGGGATTGTTGAATTTACTCCGCTTCTATCATTTGATGTGATTGACTTCGTCTTTGGTACTTCATCCTCGATACTCAGATTCTTTACTTCTTCACTACTAGTTCATTAGTCGAAGTTCTTCACGGTTAAAGACTTTGAGATCTGTCTGTCAAATTTATCAATAGCTGGAGAGTATCCATCTGTTTGAACTCAGGTGTTTCAGCTCGATTTGACTTGACGAACTCAATATCAAATCATTACCAAATCGAAGCACATTCTGTTCATTGCACCAATGACTGCAATTACTACTGCGCCAACCACACCGTTATTAATCTATGGTTCCGTCATTCAGTCAGCTAGTGTGGACGATCTTGAATATGTCGAACAAGGCTTTCTAGTTATCCAATCTGGCAAGATCCTTCACTATCAGAAGAACGTCAAGAAGGATGACATTCCTAGCATACTTGAAAGTCTTGACCTCAAAGCCCTTCTCCCCAGTGTTCGCCATCTGAAAAGAGGTCAATTTGTTATTCCTGGCTTCGTCGATACTCATAATCACGCACCTCAATGGGCTCAGCGTGGCTTAGGGCGGGGACTGGAGATTCTGGATTGGTTGGATCAAGTTACATTTCCAAATGAGGCGAAGTTCGAAGATTCCGAACATGCTCGACGTATTTACAGTTCGTGCGTTGACGGATTCATTAAGCAAGGCATCACCACTGTATCATACTATGGGTCTTTGCATGGTGAAGCGACAAAGATATTAGCAAATATTTGTTTCGAAAAAGGACAACGAGCTTTCGTAGGGAAATGCAATATGAACCGCAATTCACCTCCTTATTACACAGATGCATCCGCTGAATCCTCTCTTGAAGTTACAAGGGACTTTATCTCCTACGTTCGACACATTGATCCCAATTTTGATTTGGTCAGCCCTGTTCTTACTCCTCGATTTGCAATTTCTTGTACCGATGAACTTCTTGCGGGCATTGGACAGATAGCGAAAGCCAATCCTACATTACCCATCCAAACTCATTTTTGCGAGGCGGAGTCCGAAAAATCTACTACGTTATCTCTGTTTCCATCGTTTACAAACGAAGCGGATCTATATGAAAGTTTCAACCTGCTCTCTAAGCGTTCCATTCTTGCACACTGTACCATAATGACAGACTACGAGATAGAGCGTATTGCTGCACTTGATTGTGGGGTAGCACATTGTCCAATTTCTAATACCACGGTTGGTGGTGGATTCATGGCAGCACCAATTCGCGAATATCTTCGTCGTGGTATCAAGGTTGGTCTAGGAACTGACAGTGGTGGTGGATTCTCTTCCTCAATCTTGGATGCTATGCGACAAGCTTTCATAGTATCTAATGCGAAAGATTTCCTCACTAAAGGTGCTGATCCAAGATTGTCACTGGCTGAATGTTTCTATCTTGCTACGCTTGGTGGTGCTCGAGTTTGTTGTCTGGATCATGAGATTGGCGACTTTTCCAATGGAAAGCAATTTGATGCTTTGATTATTGACACAGAAAAGGATGGAGCAATGACTATGGTTGATGACAAAGACACACTTCCGGTTCTTTTCGAGAAATTTTTGATGAGCGGAGACGATCGAAATATTGTCGAGGTTTATGTTAAAGGAAGACAGATTAAATTCTGATCGAATTTCCATGCCATTCTTAGGGATGAGGTTTTTTTGGTGGTCATTATAGTATATTCAGAGTAATACGATACATACCCAATACTGACCAGCTACATTCTTTGAATTATTGTTTCCATTCTGCATTCCACAAATCATGAATTCGGCTGACAAAGCACCTACATAGCCGCTTGACATATGTACCCCACGTGTCGCAGGCACCAATGCTACAATGACTTTGTACTTTTGTACTCTCCACACTCTTTAGTCTCCACGTTTTCTTGATACCCGTGTGTTTTCTCTCACTACCCACATAGTAAATCTTCAGTATGATCTCTGAACCTTATCCAGTCCAGCCATCCAATGCTCCCATGACTGCCTCCAAACTTTCGCCGCTCAGGATCTTATGCCTGGGCGACTCTCTTACAGAAGGATATTCGCAATTTGGAACTAAATTCTCCCCGTATAGCAAATGGATGAAAGAAGTTTTGGTGGCAAAATGGCCTGATAGAGCAATTGAGGTTATCACAGATGGAGTCAGCGGAGATCTAGTTACTCCGCCCGGAGGATTTAAAAGAAGAATGGAGAGGCATTGTAGGTTTTTATCTTTGTTTGTGGGCTGGGAAGACTGAGTGAAGACATCTTGGAACACTGAAGGAAGGAGAAGGGATCAGATCATCGAGTGATGAATTTAAGGCCAAGCTTCGTAGTTTAGACTGAATCTGGTCATTCATTGATTTCATGTACTCTTCTATTGGCATCACGGGACGTTTCAAGTCCTAGGGTCCGTCTCAACAAGCTTCATACTTAATTTAGATCTGACCCACATTTCTCACATCTGAATCTATATTCATCAATCAGTTTTACTGACGACCTTTCTCAAAGTCCCATCTAACCCCCCAGTAACTCACACAATTCTTCTCGGCGGTACCAACGATTTAGCATACAACAGACCCGTCCAAACCCTCTACGCTGTTTTCGAGACACTCGTATTTACACCCCTTAGCAACTCTTCAAAAGTTTTGATTATGACGGTTCCTGAATGTCATGTGAGGTCTAAGGTTTTAGACGAGAAGAGAGAGGAGTTAAACGATATGTTGGTTTATAGTTTGGGGAGAAAGGATAACGTGTATGTTTTCCTCTTCCACGTCAGCTCTAGTCCTCTCCCCCCACTCTCTCCTCCCAATACTGCATTCTTCTACGTTCAAATGAGTTCTAGAACGATCGGCAAGATACGATAAGGACGGGTGTAACATACTATATGCTAATCACCCTCAAATTAATAGTAGCACATTTGATCTCCGCGGTGCGATGCCCTACCACAACATGGAATTGGAGAAACGAGAACGTCTCTGGGACGATGGGTTGCATTTCACAGAGGAAGGATATAAGGAGATAGGAATTATGGTAGGAGAGAAAATGATTCAGGTTATTGAGGAGGTGAAACCTGAGAAGGAGGTTTCATTGTCTGGGAGAGGGACCATGGGGATCGAGTAGCGGAGAAAGTACATTAGCATTGAGAAGGTAATCAGGGGTGTTGGAGTCTAGGAATCGTAAAATGATTGATATCTGAGGTAGAAAAATGGAAATGCGAATTGATTGTAACTTGGCTGCGACCAGGTGGTAGTTAGGATCGCTACAAATAACGAACATGACAAGATAGTATTTAACCAATCAGTGAACATAGGTTTGTCTCTCTTTTACCTCATCAGAATTGAAGGGTAATATATGTGGAAATTCAAAAGTCACCTAGGTGAGATAGCTAAGAAATATTCAGAGATATAACCTTGTGAAGATGGCAGGATTACGACCGGCCAAAGGATTTATAACCTTCGCGATGTTCATGAAGAGGAAAAACATAGATTAGATGAAGTATGGGAGATGTCCGAGTTTCGAATGTTTTGCTTGAGTGTACGCACTCGTGTGATAGTCATAAAGACTAATAGGGAGGGAAGTCAGGAACCCAAACGAAGCTAAAAAGTCGTTTAATTGGCTAGTCTCTCAGCCACAATCAGCCACTTTGCTCAAAAAACCACTTTACGCGTAAAATGGGACGTGAACGCGACATCAGGTACCTAGTGGTTGCGGCTGTTTGTATTCTATCCACTTTTCTTTTTTACTCCGTTGTTTACACTTCCGTACCAGGTCAAAGTCAGATCCACCGCAACAATCAAATTCTTTTGGCATTGGACTTGCATAGCGTCATTAATTAGAACTCAAAATGTCGTCCCCTGCCGGTCGTCGGCAGCGCAATTCTCAATCTGCGACTCCTAGGCGTACATCAGCGAGAAATTCACAAGCTGTACCAAGTAGTCCACCAGATCCCGCTGCTGCTCAACTTCAAAATGAAGCAGCCTCGTCACAAGGCGTTACAGGTACTCCTCGGCGGGGTATTATTCCATCGTCGTCGCCTATGAATTATCGATCTTCTCCGGCAGATGCTGCACGATTCAATAGAGAAATCAGCTCACCCCTGAGACAAATGACAAACACCCAGACAACAGAAGATGGCGATCGTACTCCAAGAGCTGGTGCTAGCGCACTCATCGGTGGTAGGTACTGCGTTTACAAATTAATTGATACCGGCTGACAACAATAGACTCTTCACCCATCAGATATGAAGCAAGTTCTAGTCCTGGTAGAGCATATGCCAATGATCCTCAAACCAATATTCCAAGTGATAGCAGTGGTCTTTTCGTTCGCTCTTCTCGTTCCCAAGGTCCTGGGTCTGCGGTTAATAATTCGCGAAGAGGAGATATTACTTCTGACAACCTTAACACACCCCGTGCGAGAAGACGTATTTTCATGGATGAAAGTGGTCGAATTGTAAGAGATGTTCCACCTGAAGATGCGGAAGCTCCATCGTTCTCGAACCTCGATCCAACAACTTCAGATGCGCAAGCAATGGGAGGAAATTCAACACTTTGTATCTGGGGTACGAATGTTTCTATAAACGATACGTTGTCCACATTCAAGGACTTCCTTCGAAACTATACCAAAAAATACCGAATGTGGGGTGAAGGAATGTCAGAGGAAGACACCCAAGCTGATCCAGAATCGAATTCAAAGGAATACTTGGAGATGATGCAAAATATGTTAACTCTTGGAATCACAAGTCTCAATTTAGATTTTGGCAATCTCAAGGCTTACCCTCCAACCAAGAAACTTTGGCAACAAGCACAGGATTACCCTCAAGATATTGTCACTCTTATGGATCAAGGTATTAAAGATGTGATGTATGAGATCGCGGAAAATCAAATGGCAGTTCAAAGGCAATCACAAAGCTCCGCTGGACAGGCGTCCGGAAGAAGCAGGATTCAAAGTTCAGAACCCCCTGTTCCTAGTTCTGAGAGAAGCGAGCCAGAAGCTGCAACACCACGAGCACAAGATTCTAATGAAGTGGACTTGTGTGCGGAGGTACAAAAAAGATCATATAGAGTTCGACCATTTGGATTGGACAAGACTATTAATATGAGAGAACTTGATCCATCTGACGTCGATAAGATTATTGCTATCAAGGGTCTCGTTATTCGAACTACGCCAATCATTCCAGACATGAAAGATGCATTCTTCAAATGTTCTGTTTGCAATCATACTGTCAAGGTTGATATTGACCGTGGTAAGATTGCCGAGCCTACAGAATGTCCTCGTCCGGTTTGTAAATCTCCAAATTCCATGCAAATTGTACACAACAGGTCTGGATTCATGGACAAGCAAGTTATTAAACTTCAAGAAACTCCGGATTCCGTTCCTGCTGGTCAAACACCCCATTCCGTCTCAATGTGCGCATATGATGAGTTGGTGGATCTTTGCAAAGCTGGTGACAGAGTTGAGATTACTGGTATCTTCAAGGCTAGTCCAGTTCGTGTCAATCCTCGCCAACGAACTCTTAAGAGTATTTATAAAACATACATTGATGTTTTACATATTCAAAAGGTTGACAAGAAGAGAATGGGAATTGATGCTTCGACCGTTGAGCAAGAAATATCCGATCAATTAACAGGCAACATTGAAGAAACTAGAAAGGTTTCCGAGGAGGAGGAAGAAAAGATCAGAGAAACAGCTGCAAGACCTGATATTTACGAACTTCTTTCTCGATCCCTTGCGCCTAGTATTTTTGAGATGGATGATGTTAAGAAGGGCATCTTGCTTCAGTTATTTGGTGGAACTAACAAGTCTTTCGAAAAAGGAGGAAGTCCAAAATACAGAGGAGATATCAACATTCTTTTGTGTGGTGATCCTTCTACTGCGAAATCTCAGATTCTTCAATACGTGCATAAAATCGCTCCTCGTGGTGTATATACTAGTGGTAAAGGATCTTCGGCAGTTGGTTTAACAGCATACGTCACTCGAGACCCAGAAACGCGCCAACTTGTTCTTGAATCCGGAGCTCTCGTTTTGTCGGATGGTGGTGTTTGCTGTATCGATGAGTTCGATAAAATGTCCGATGCTACACGATCAGTTTTACACGAAGTCATGGAACAACAAACTGTCTCTATTGCTAAGGCAGGAATCATCACTACTTTGAATGCCAGAACAAGTATTCTGGCCTCTGCAAATCCAATTGGAAGCAAATACAATCCAAACTTACCAGTACCTCAAAACATCGATCTACCACCTACTTTACTTTCCAGATTTGATCTTGTCTACTTGGTTTTAGATCGTATTGACGAGACTGCTGATCGTAGATTGGCTCGTCATCTTCTCAGTATGTACCTAGATGATAAGCCACAGAGTGCTTCGGGAGGAATGGAAATTTTGGTAAGCACATCTTTCTCAACCATGCACAAGTATAAAGCTAACAAATTCAGCCCATCGAGTTCCTCACTTCCTATATCTCATACGCTCGTGCAAAGTGTCAGCCACGCATCAGTCAAGAAGCATCTACGGAACTTGTTTCCGCTTATGTTGAAATGCGTAAACTGGGTGAAGATATTCGTGCCGCTGAACGTCGTATCACAGCCACTACTCGTCAACTCGAATCCATGATTCGTCTTTCCGAAGCTCACGCCAAAATGCGTCTTTCTGAAATCGTCACCAAAGAAGATGTTCAAGAAGCAGTTCGATTAATTAAGAGTGCGCTCAAACAAGCAGCTACGGATGCGAGAACGGGATTGATTGATATGAGTCTTTTGACAGAAGGAACATCCGCAAGTGAGAGGAGAAGAAAGGGAGATTTGAAAAATGCGGTATTGGGAGTAGTGGATGAAATGACGGGACCAGGTGGAAATGCTAGATGGACAGAGGTGGTGAGGAAACTTGGGGAACAAAGTAGTTTACAAGTCGATGCGGCGGAATTTGGAGAGGCGGTTAGGGGCTTGGAATTAGAAGGGAAGGTTATGATTCTTGGTGAAGGGCCGAGAAGAAGTATTAGGAGGGTTACGGGTCAATCTTAGACTAGGAATGGACGGGTGGTGTGGGTAGATGCATTGATGAAGATGATGTGTATGGCGTTGGGACTTTGTCTGTTTGGCTACGTATGATCTGCTATGATATGATATGATAGTTGAGTAAAGGAAAGAAAGGTATTCATTGATTCATGAGTAGAAGGATATGCAAATGGTCAGTAAGTCAGTAGGTAGTACGAGATGAATAATATATATATGATTCCCTGGGTAGAGAGAGCATTTCTGATTCTGTTCCATTTTGTCTCCTGGTGCATCTACGAGTATTGAATTGTGTCTAGGTAGAGGTAAGTTACAACTTGTCTAATATTTACGCGTCTGGGTGATTAATCAGTATTGGAGTTCATGGCAGCCTGAATGGATGTGAAGAATGTAGGTAGGTAGGTAGCCTTGGGGGTCTTTATCGAGTAGTAGGTGAGTATTAGATAGTTATCTATACCTACCTATCTAGGTTGCTATATAGACTTTTAATCTTTTAACGTGATAGATGTAGGTATGTATGTATAAGTACCTACCTAGGTATGTATTATTATGGTTGTTATTATTATTATCACCACTAGCGCTAAATTCTTCAGGCTTTTTGAATATCTGATACAGTATCTCCTATCTCCTTCGCTAGGAGAGAGAGAGAGATGAGGAATAGAGGGTAGAGGGTGGAGGGTATAGAGCGATACCTATCACTATTTCAATTTTCAGAAGATGAGATTTCAATGTAGATAGATACCTACCTACCTATCTAGGTACCTACCTAGGTATGTAGAGAAAATATTATAACTACATTCTCCCCTCTCTCCTCTTTTCTTTTTTTTCTTGAATTTTTATTACTCTCTTCTCTTATTTCTTATTTCTTATCTCTTATCTCTCTTCTTTTATATAAAATCTTATATTCATTTCTCGATTCATTAATTAAATCTATATCTTTCTATCTATCTATATCTATAGCTATTATATTATATTGTATTATATCATATTATCATCTACACCTCCTGCTCCTATAGTGAGCTTATATATCGTTCAACGAGATGAGATGAGATGAGATAAGCTCCCGCTTTACAAGTTCATCTGAAGATTAAATCTGATATATTATACTATGTATAATAGATGACCATAAGATAAAGATAAAGATAAAGACAAAGATTAAAAAATAAAAAAATTAAACTTAAATCTACTCGGATAATCTGAATCTCTATTTCTCGAGAATTTCGTAGATTACCTATATTGTATTGTATTACTCTACTCCTCTTGAATTATACTCTTTCTTTGATTCTTTCTTTCTTTCTATGCAATTATTAATATGATTTATTCGGTTGATTTCTCTGTTGATAAATCTAAAAGTTTAGATATGGGGGTGTGATGAAATAGCTGTTGGCGATGTTAGTCGATGATTTGGTATTTTTGTATACTTATCTATTGAATATTATGCGACGTTGAAGCTTTGGTGGTTGCTGTGATTGTGATATGTTGTTTGTATCTAGGTGAGGTGCTGTTATTTTTCCTCCTGATGGGGTGTTGACATGTTATAGGTTGGAATTTAGTTCGGAGTCGGAAATTAGAAGTTGGAAGGTATGCGAGTGTGAGCTGATGGTTGGCTAGATTTATCATCTCTGGATCTGAGGGCGAGATTGTCCTTCGGATCTGCTTATTATTTAGATATAGCCGTCCAAGGAGCCTGAGATGCTATGTGTGTGTGAATATGAGGTAGGTGTGGTTTGTGAGTTCGAAAGTATGAAGGCTCGTACCGAGTGACCCTCACACCTCATACGTAGCAGAATAGTACAGTCTTCTACTGTGTCACAAATTCATCTTATCAGATCAAATCAAAGAGAAACTTTCTCTTCTCTCACCCCAAAACCAAATCCAACAATTCTTCCTCTCTTTCCCTTTCCCTTTCCCACACCTCTTTCACTACGCACCCATTACCCCTTCGATACGCAATACCATTTTCCCACTCCACCCATAACACATGATAACAATCTTGACGCGTCGTATGGTCAGGAAACCAATCTTTGACTTCTTTCTCCTCCTCGCCACTCTTCGTGTTGACGCCAAACCATCCTTGAGAAATGGCAACAAATTCAACGAGAGTCCTGGTCGTTGCGTTTTGCGTAAAATGAGCTCTATCACTTTCACACATGAGCGTTAGGAAACTGACAACTTCTCCGTTCGAATCTTGAAGCTTGACGTCTGTGAAATTTTCATCATCTTTCAGTTCAGGCGAAGATGAAGACCGCTTTTCTGCTTTCGTATAAATATCTGGAACCCTATGTATGAATGTTCGCGAGGTCTGACAGTAAAGGAATTGCGTCTGCATCTGTACAGGGTGCTGTTTTTTCGAGTCTAGAACCGGAACTGGATATTTGTACCATTTGTCAGAAGAGTTTGAATGCCAATAGGCATATTCTTGCCCGTCACCCGAATACGCAAATGTGTTTAGATGCTCAGGGTTACCACAATCCCAGCCAAATCGAGTGCGCATCCATCCTTTGGGAGGCGTTTGTGTGATGTCTTCGGCTAGAACTTTGTACTTGTACCAAGTCGACGCAATTTTTCGTCTATTTGTCGATTTGGGATGGTTCATTGTGTACCATGTGGTAAGAGGTTTATGAACACCTTTTATATATTCAGCTCTCTTCCACGAAGAAGCTTCAAATTCGCAATCATCTGTAAACCCGGCGCCTACTTGCCATCCAAGAAACGACCAGCTCGGAAAGCTGTGATATCTCTTTCTTAGTTGAGTGCCGTCTCTCTCCAAAACCAATTGGATTCCACATCAAACCAATCTCAAAGAAGAGTTCAGGAATACCATACAACAAACCGCCTTCAAATATCTGGCTGAGTCCCCATTGAATACCAGAAAAGGCCGCTAAGGCATCATCAGGAAATGTAAGATCTTTCTGATTGAACTCCCGTAATAGATAGTTCATGTTCTTCATATCTGGAAAAGTGGGATCTGCAAATAGTTCTGGAGGTAAAAGTGGATCGATTGTTCGCGGCTTGTATGGTTTTATATCGGGGATCAATTCCTCACTCCAAGTAGACGCGCTGCATTCCCAATAAACAGTTCCATTTTCAAAGATAAGACGTCGTTTGGCGCAAAGATACTCTTGGTGAGTCCAAGCCCGTGAATGATATACACGATTAGTCTTTTCAATTCTGCTTCTGTGGTTGATCAACTTTATTGGTGGTCCCATAGACATTACGTTTTGTTTGAAGTCTCGTTGGGAAGTGATTCCCTTGAATCCTCGAAGTCCATGGTTGGCGTCAATGCCATCGGTAGCTACGATTGTGATACCTGAATGGAGTAAAGCTAAATTTGAACCACCGAGGTAGGATCTCCGATCAAAAGAATCAAACTCACAAGAAGTAGTGTATATTCTAGCCATAGAATTCAACTAGGCTTGCAAAGTCTCCGGATCATCTTGAACAATGCATAATGTATCAACCCACAAGTATCGCTCTCCAATGAGTCGAACAACGTCAATAGCATTTCTGATCGTCATAGGTAACTGATCTGCCACAGATTCTTTCGATAAAACTCCCACTTCTTGAAAGCCGAGCGATGTTACCTTTCTCGCTGTAGAAAGGCACAGTTTTCCCCCGAACATAGCTCAATGTAACAAATCTCGAATGCTCACGACCAGGTACAAGACATGCAGCCACAGTATCAATCAACCACGTCGGCTGGATTGCGTCCATTCGTGTGAGTTTCTCAGGATACTCACATGCAGTTCCATGATGTTTATCACACAAATCTTTCCGATTCAGAATAACCCCCTCATCAATCCACATAGGATCAAGAATACGCGCACGTCTCGAATGTGGATATTCATCATTCTTCTCACGAACGAATTCAAAGCGACGGCCTAATGAAGCTGTCCCCTACTTACTCGATCTGAGCACTGTGGACGATGCCCTTTTGGACATGCCAATTTTCCACTTGGAGAAGTTTTGGATCGCAGGGCCGTCTGCGTCGAATTTTGTGATCCATCTTCCGTGTGGACATTCCGTGTCGATGAGTGAGGAAACAGTTTCCTCATATGGCAATTTGTTGTCTAATACCTGTGTTGGAGAATTCGAAAATTCGTTCACATGTTGCACATGTCGTCAGCGTTTCGCTCATGATGAGTAAGTAGGTGGTGAGTGATCTTGATCTGCTTGGGCCGTCATCTAAAGTACGATGTAGTCTCTGAATTACTTGTATAAAATGCATGTAATATGGAAAGTAAGTTGGATAGTCGAAGGCTACTGATCATAGGTTGCAAATTTCTCTCCGAGCGCAGCGGTACCACAAGATGGATATGAATGCCAGCAAAGCGTGATTTTGGAAAGATGCCCTGAGGTGACATATTGTTGGTATCATGTGACAGAGCTGGACCAATCACTTTTGGGAATATGTTTTCTTTATAATCGTATGATTACAGCTCATCTTACTACAAACCTCAACTCTTCATATCTCTCTTCAAACTTCACCCCTCCAAACCTCACCTCACCTCATCTCATCCCTCCACTTTACTTCACTCACTTTACTTCACTCACTTTACTTCACTCACTTTTACTTCACTCCTCTATATCTCATCTCACCTCCTCATCCTGCCACTTTACTAATCTCACCCCCTATACATCACTACAACTACCTAGGTATGTAGAATTCACGAACACCAAGATACCCAAATACCCAAAAAGATAAAAATCACCACATCAAAATCTCTTAAATTATGCAATTCTACAATCTGCTCTACATTCCCCTCCCCCTCCTTCTCCTTCTCCCCCTCCTTCTCCCTTCCAACATTCTTTCCCACACTCCAATCTATTACCAACATCTCCACACCTACCCCCTAACCACAACCCACCCCCTCACCACAACCCAACTCAACCCAACACTAATACCTCCCCCAAAATTCCATCTTTTATTCCCCCCTATTTTCCTATACATTTGTCCCATTTTCCCATTTCCCCATTCCAAACGCCATAAAGCAAAAAGACCACACCCCACCACCACCCCCACCACACCAGCCAATCAAATTAACTATATCGAAGTTCTTCCACTATACTTACTACTAGGTAATTCAAAATAAAATATAAATGTACTGTAGACCGATAAATCTCCTTCATAAATGCATACATACATAAATATAATACGCATCCATCCATTCGTCCATTAAATACAACCACCATCTCGTAGCCCAATGCAACAATAGAAATAGCATTCCATCATCCACCCATCTAAAGCAAGAAATCCTTCATTCCACTTCAATACCCTCGTAATCAAATCCTCACTCGCTATCCAGCTGTAGTCAAGACATAACTTGTAATAGCACTCATCCTCTCACTTGTCAACTTTAATCCAATCCTCAATAACTCCTGAGCAACTTCCTTATCCTTTTCTTGCAGGTCCTCCCAGTCCTTTTTATCCATCAACCATGCCACGCAATCTCTTTCCGCCATAACGGTAGCCGTACGATCAGTTTCCGAGAAAAATGGTAATTCTCCACATGTCGTTCCAGCAACTATACTTTCAAAGTAGCGACCTTGAGGTAATTCATAATCAGCACGAAGGATACCTTCTTCAAGGAGATAGAAACCCTTTGCAGGTTCGCCACGACGGTAAAGTATTGTGCCTGCGAGATATTCTTTACGAGTGAAGAACGTAATGACACGGAACCAGAAATCTTCATTTTTATTGGTGAGACCTTGGAAAGTTTGACGGATTAAGCGAAGGGGTTCTTGAAATTAGAATATTTTAATATCAGGTGCGGTAGTTTCTTCCAAAGCATTAGTAGCCATTCGGAAAAGTTGACTGCGTCTTGGAGAACTGAATTGAGTATCGAAAGAATGTGAGAATGATTTGCCGCGGCTTCGACTTGAGGGCACTTCTAGATGATCAGTTGCGCCATTGCGGTTGGCGCGAGCTTGTTGACTGGCGTAAAGTGTTTTCAATAATTCGTTTTCGCAACTCTCCAATGCAGAATTAAGATCTTGAAATAAGGTCACTTCGTTACCATCATCAATCGCTAGACCTTGGCCAAGACCAACGGATCTAAGATGACTCCCTATAGGACCTTCGGGATCCACACCGCTAAGAGATAAAGTGACACCCTTCTTGCTGAAGATTCGATTCAATCGTAAAAAGGCCTCGGCAGCGGAATAATCAATTCCTGTAACATGGTAGAGATCAAATATCAAGAAACGTATTGGTCTTTCGGTAAATGCTTCATCCTCAACCAAAGCACGAATACGTTCCTCGACACTGACGATGGTACCAAAGAAAAGATATCCAGCTAACTTTGTGACATGAATTTGCTGGCCCACGTCTCGAAGGTAGCGAGACTGAGTAGCGTTCCTACGAACAGTAGATCCAGCTATCTCACCTGAGTAAGACGCTCTCACTGCGGGGATTCTAGATGTCTGGACTACCAAGGATACAAACGCAAGACCAATACCAAGGAAGATTCCAGCAACGAAATCATAGATACCCATGGTAATAACTATTATGCATACCTAAAAGGAGTTAGCTTTTCATCTGAAAGTGGCAGACTCAAATGTAATGAGAACCCGAAGAATGTCTAAACTTACTGTCAAATACTCAAGGGGCTTCAACTTCTTCCTTGGTACCCACACAGCCTCAACCAAAAGTTCGAAACCAAGCACAAAGATGAGAGCCCCAACCATCATAACCGGAATGTAGCCGATTAAAATCAGTCCATACATCAAAATTCCAAAAGTAGCAGCAGCAAGTAGAATACCAGCTAAACGATTACCACCTGATCTCATAAATAGGATGGAGTTGGTATAGACCAAATAATTCTGAACACTTCCTGCAAATCCAGATAGCATATTGGAGATGCCATGTGCAATTAGTTCTCGATCCAAGTTAAGATGATCCTCGCCAACGTTGATGGCCAATGCTGGAACATTGATAGGAACATGCAAAAGTCCAAAAAATGTCAAAGCAAACATAGCAGGGACCGTTTCGAGAATAGCATCCCAACGAACGAGGTGGAACTTGTACAAGGTCCAGAAATACCACCATGGTTCATCAGCTTCAGGACCTTCAAAAATCCAGCCATTTCGACGTAAATTGGGTACTTCGAGTTCATCCAATGAAAGGACAAAAAAGTAGAATACTGCTGGAATAGTCATGATAACGGCGGACAAATAAAATTTCGAGGTAATTTTAGTTTGCGACCAGACAATGAAAAGAGCAATGGAGAAAGGAATGACCCATAGGGCAATTGTATCTGGCTCGAACATCTTGTGTAGAGTGCTCATGTCATAATTCAAATTTCCATCAAGGCGTGCTGTAACCTCAAATCCAGTAGCAATGAGGAACCAACCAACCCCACCAATGCATCCAATGAGTATATGTCTAGGAATAAATCCAACGATGTAACCAAAGCCACAAGTTCCCATAAAGAAGAATACAATACCTGTTAAAATGGAACTAATCGCATATGACGTGATAGTTGTCGCGATGACGGCTTCGGGATTATCTTCGCCAACCACTTCCATTATCGTAAACGCCATTTTATGAAAAAATGGCACAACTTCTATCATTTCACTACCAATACCTCCTTTGAATGTACTCATGCCGCATGAGAACACCAATTGCGAAATTATTGTACTCACGTAGAATATAGAGATGCCGGCTGCACCAAGTTTTTCGAAAATTGGTTGTCCTAGAGGAAATAAGATCTATAGCAAAGGAATATTAGCATATAATACTTTTGATCTTAATAAAGGTTTTCGGAATTTATGGAGGAAGAATTTGCGATGCAGGTAGAATGATAGGTGCGAGTAATGGCCGGAAGCGAACTCCAAAATTGGAGCCCACGTCACCATGTCTCGGAATCGCGACAAAACTGTGATGAAAAGTAAAAAAAAACATACCATCCCATATGATAATGCATCCAGAATATTAAGCAACATTCCCAAAAGTACTGATGGAAGAGATTGAGCGGGTGCAATAAAACAGTTCTGCCATATCGCCATTCTATCCCAGCGCTTGGGGTTGAAAGCAGTTTCGACAACGACTGTGCCTCGTTCCCTGGTTGATTTCAGGACATTCCGTAGCTTTGGCCAAGTTGGATTTCTTGACGTCTTTAAACTTTCAATATCATGATCCCCCCTTATCCAATCGGGGTGAGAATGTGAAGATGAGACTTTGGACAACAAGGGTGTACGTTCTGACGAGTCCATCTTGACGCCCTGCGATGTAATTATGAGGCGGCCGTCTCTCGAATTGGAATCGCATTGTTCACTTTCAATGGCCCCATAGCCCAGCGTTCCATTTTCATTCTGCAGTAATGTACTAGGAGGAGAAGTTCTCAGCATGTTCGTTATGGCAGATGCGCTATGTGGAAGGCTGCTTGTGGAGCCCTCTTCTGGGGTAACTGGCTCAGACACTTCTTCTATCGTTTCGTGACGTGGTTGTTCGATATCTCGATTTGATCTTGACTCGTCTTCACCTCCATTGAAGTATGATTCGAGGTGCATCTGATGGTTTGTGCGGGTTCGGGTCGGGGAGGGAGGACCTGGGGCTGGTGTGTCGGACAGGGCATATGACGCAAGTTCGGCCGTATCTTCTCTAACGCTGCGGGCATACTGTGCGCTGTCTACGAGGACTATGACGATATCAGATCAGATTCACTTTGGATAAGCCCATCGGAATCTATCCGGTAGTACTTACCTGGATCTCCACGATAGGAAAGATGAACGAAAGAACGTGTAGGTTGGTATTGGTGTGAAGCGCCGGAAGTATTAGTGTGTGAATTCTGCTGTGCAGATTGGCCTCGAAAGGAACCGTGATTCAAATCGGATGGCAGGTTCGAGAGACCATCTTGCGAAGCTGAAGCATGAGGGATCAGACGGGGACTTGAGTATGATGAAACGGAATCTCCACGACGCCGGGATGGCGCAGAGGCCGGTGAGGGGAATGACATTATTTCCAATTCCAATTGCTATGTACAAGCTAAAGTGTAAAGGGATGGAAGGTAGGTGTATATGTATATGTATATGTATGTGTGTGTATGTGTATGTTGTATGTTGTATGGTAAGCTATATTCCCAATCCGTATCTGCCTCACGCACGCAGAGCGCCCAAGCAAAGAGTACGGGGAAGAATAATATAATGATGTAAATGGAATTTGACGAATGAAAATGAAATATGGAAAAGATTGGAAAGTCTAGATAAGATGTTTGCTACTAAATTTTTAGTTTCCCCTAGTGCAATTGTAGATTGATGGGTGGAAAATCTGGGACTTCCCTTGTATGAGAATAATTGGGTTGGAGGTGGAGTGGAGATATCAAATTGAGTGAACAAACGAAAGTTTATTGTTAGTTTGTGAGGAATCTGGATGTTAAATTTAGAGCAGGAATATAACATGCTATAATACATTGAATAGAGGTAATAGTTGAAAAATCTACCTAATAGTATAAATGAAGGTTTTCCTAAGAAGACATTGAGAAGAATGACAAAATGAGAAGATGGTATCAAGAAATGTATGTAGATATGTAAATGTAAATGTGCATGTTTGCGTGCTCACCTATCTCTCATTACAAGACTTTCTTTTTTTCTTGCTAGGGGAAGATAGCTTTTCCTGGATCTTGAAGACTGGGGATGCCTCGGACGCATTGCACTATTATAGTTTGCATATAAAGGAGGAGAGTAAGCCAATGACAGTTGATATTCTCCACTTATACCTTGACCACATAGACGCAGGTAACAAGTCCGTGAAGCCGTTCACGCCGTTCAGCTATCCAGCTATCCAGCAAGTCCTCTCATTCTTTCTCCAGTCTCCAAAACACCTTGTCGTCAACCCCTCCCCTGTTGAAATTTCTCCTCCTGATGAAAATTATCTGATCAATCACCATCCGTGGCCCAAAAGGGTTAGAAGGTGGGGTCAACGTCACTACCGGAATGTTTGCCTTTGGCCTTTATGTTACCACTTTCGCCTTTGACATATTGAACCAGGATTCTGAATTCGGTATCCCTTTTTCACCAATCATGTTATGTGTATGGATTCAAGTGTTGCAGGTACGAGAGAGAGAAAGTGTTTTACGATGTATATTGTTATTAGAAGAATTTATATCTAATTCACACACTTCTCGATCTCTCCTATCTGTCTACTACCGGTTCATTTATACCTACCTACCCATATACTCCTCGAGATGTCCATTCGATCGATCGATCAATCATCTTACAATTATCCCTCATCATTTACTACCTACTATCTATCTTCACTCAACTCAAATATCATGTGACTGCTCCCGTCGCTATTACCCCTTCATTTGCATGCCAGTGTGGTATGGTGACGGTGGTGCGAAAACGGCTTCTTTTACGCCACAAACCACAGCCAAGTTTTGGACCATGCTCGCCATGTTCTTCTGTTCGCTTTCGGTTTCACGATTCCTGTCTCCATATATTTTAGTTGAAAGGGTACTCGAAACTAAATACAGATTAATCAACATCTATCCATCTATCCATCCATTCATCCATTCACTAACTACTCGAGTACATACTCCATACATTCCACCCCACCACAAACTGACATATCCATCATTAATCAATTCAATTCACATAAGGGTCCATTCTAAGCACCCCATCTACGTCTCCCCCTCCTGAATAAGCATCTAGTAATCTTATTATCATTATACGACAGCTCAAAGCAGTAGTGTCCCCAGTATAAAATCCCCAACGTAAAAATCAGCGTTCCAATGCCAAATCATCTTTAGGTAAAGCCAAGATATGGAATCATAATCTGGAGACGACCATCGACCTGTCAAACCGATGCAGGCCGGATAATCAATCTACAGTGTGACTGCAGCAAGTAATAAATCATAGCATTGTACGACCCGATGAAAATTATTCCCCTCAAGAGCCACCGTGCCATTGAAAATTTTCATCAAGACCAATAGAACCCTCCAATTCAACTCGAGGCATGCATCATCCGGCCATGAACTTAATCATTCAATACGAATATCTCCTGCCAGACTGATACATTCAAAAAACCCCTTCCATTCAAGTTACCCCGCGAAAAGCTTGGTCACCGAAAGTTTTGGTCTTGTATCTCACCTGATCCTCTACAATGGTACATCAATTCCCCGCGTGGTATTTATGTAGTAATAGAAATAACAAGATATTTTCGTTCCAATTGCACAGTCCTCGTCGTCTTTTCTTACGACTATCGCCATTTCTGGTCCGAATGAGAATAGGGGCCCCCACAAATCCACATCTTTCCGGGACCGGCTGCACCGGGTCTCCTCTCCGTGGACTGGGTTTCGTGGCAGAACACAAAGCCGCGTTGTTCCTGTGTGGAGAGTATGTGCTTCTGGACCTCATGTCTTCAACTGACGGTGGCTCCGTTCACCGTCCGTAAATGTCTCATGGATGTTCCCCTCCGTCAATTTGACGAGTTTCCATCAACTCCGCCGTTATTATTAAGTCCACAATTGTTGCTGTGGTTGGAGCTCGTAATTAGCTGAGTTTTTGAAGGTATCCTTGTGCGATCAAACGTTCAACGTCCCCTTGGCGGACATAAAATTGCGAATTTTTGGTAAGGTTGATGGTACTGCATTATGATCATGTCAACGAACCTCCATCTAATTGGTGTGCTATTACTTACCCATATTCTGTCTGGATTTCTCCGGCATCCTTGAGGACCCGAACATCAATGAACAAATCTCTGGGAGGTTCAAGACTACCAGTCAGATCAATATCGGTCCAATGTCCTTTGAACGCAGCGAGTAAATCGCTATATTGCCTGACGTATTCTTCCTCTTCCGGGCTTAAACTACTGGTATTTCCCTCACCATTTCCTAAATCAGACCCTCCGTTCTGCCCCTCACTTGTGATGCGATGTTGTTGTGCAGCGAGATCCAAAACATCACTGCCATTCCATGCCATTTCTTCAAGCTTGTCGGTTCGTGTACGATGATATGCGAGGAGACATCGTTTGTTCCTTCGCATACACAGGTGATCAACGAGGAGAGTGCATGCTGTCGCAGGGTCGGCAGATGGATCAAACGAGCCACCGATGGATTGTAAAATATTCGATGCGTCTTTGTCTAAGTCTCTAACCTCCCTAGTGACGGCGCGAACCATTTCAGTCTGATATGGAGGAAGATGTTCGAGCTTTTGAGTTCTTTTGGCATGTTGAACCTGATCATTGATTAGAAGAATGATTCATAGGTGACAGTGGATTGACTGACCAATTTATTCCCTATATCTCCGTACATTCTCAATGATCTGCCTTGTTTAGTTGTGTATCAAATCTCACCCTAGATCTCGCCCTGAGTTTACTTGAGTATCATGTCCTCAGTATCGCGTATCACATATTTGAAGTCGCGTAGAGCAAAATGAACCAATTGACCCCTCCAAAGTTACGGTAGAAAAAAGTGGGCCATGATGGCTAAATTAGTTTTACCTTGGAACTTCAAAGTTCAAATGGACTTTCTCCTTCATTTCATATTTTCACCATTTTCATGGTCGTACTATTAGGCAATAATTACCAATGAATAACTGAGCCGTACCAATGAGAAGTTTTTGATTAGGTATATATTCATGTCTGGTATTCAAGGTACATCACAATAGAGTGACACAAAGTTGGTACTGGAACGGCAATTTGCATGATACAATGCCTTTGTTAAGGCTCGACTGCCCTCCTTATTAGACAAACCCCTTGTCCACGATTATATCCTCAAACATATACAACACAGCAAGACATGACTAATAACTACATTGGTTCGTGAAAGTTTCACGGGAAGAGCTATTAAATAGGACATGCCTCATACCAGCTCTACATAAATTTGGCTGGCTATGAGATGCAACGTCCAATCCTATCTACATACATCATGGGGCAGATTTATGTTCTCAGCAATCGCCGAACTTTTCCATACAGAAGGAAATTGACAGAAGATTGAACCACACCAGTACTCCGGGAAATGCACATAACGAAAACCTCCTTCTCCATACCAAATGCATTGAACGAATCCATCCTGTACACGAGCGACCACCCAAACTCCATCAACTCATTAGATCATTCTATTCCTCACCAGCTCCCATCCAGTTATCAAACTCTCGACCACTATCCAGTGTTTCAATCTGCCATCCTTCTTGATGTCCTCGCAAAACATCCATCTGTTGATCATGGATTTGTCCTTTGTCGGCATGCTGTTCGGGGAGATATTGAAGAGCAGGATCCATCTCCCTATCATTCATTCCGTACCCAGCTTGCCATGCTTGCTCTGAATCATGATTACTATCAAAATACACTCCATCAGGATGACCTTCATGATAGTTGTTATTCTCGTAATGACCGTGGTCTTGAGTCATCAAAGAAGGATCTATTCTGAAATCTGGCTGAGGCGAGGGTGTATAGTGCGGTTGAGGGTGCATGATATCGAAATCCTGTCCTCCCGGAATACTAACTTGATACGAATGAACACCTGGAGCTGGGGTCTTTTTGATGATGACATCTTCGACGCCGGCTACTAAGGGGTTACTTTGAATGGTCTGCTGATAGTATTCTCCAGGTTGCATACCTGCTTGATTGTACTGAGCGGGAGGCTGCTTTCCCGGATTCGCAATTTGATACGAGGATTTGTTATAGTTGGCATAATTTGGCTCCATAGAATGTTCGCGCGAAGAGTAGTGGTAAGCAGACCTGGTCGTAGGATACAAAACGGGCTGTTGCTGCATGGGTCTCTGTTGGTTGCGAAGATTCCGTCTCTTCTTTGACTGACCTCCTCCTTGCCAATCGAAATCAGTCAAATCAGAATCATCAGAAGCAATGTCTTCAGACATCTTCCTCTTAGCGGCTTTACCAGCACCAGGTTTTGTTGGAGAGAACTTGTATCCCGGATGCGCGTTCTGATGATTGATTCGTTCAATCCTGGCCCATTCACTAAACTGCTCTTTTACAGCATCGGGTTCCAACGGCCAA